TAAATCTAGCAAGAGCTAAGAACAGAACATTATTAGGTCATTCCTGATCCAGGTAAGCAACACATTTCAGTTGTACCTTCCATAAACACATCTAAATTATTGGCATGATTATCAAAACACATAGAAAGCAATATTTAACTTGCTTGAGGCTTTAACTATGATAAAGTTAAAAAACATTTCAAAATTTCACTGTAACACTTATTTAAAGAACAATGATCATTTAATTATATATTAATCTCTTCTTTCATTATTTTACTGACTGACTTCTATGCAAAAAGTATAATAATACATAGTGGGAGTAAAAAAGAAAAAGTGTCTGGATCATTAGTTCAAATTACTGTAATGGTCTGATAAGTAACCAAAAGAAGTAACCTAAATGAAAGATAACACATAATGACTGGAACTGGTGTACTGGAAAAAATGTATGCTTTATCAAAAGGAGGCAGTATCTATGCATTTCTATTTCCCTGTAAACATACAAAAAGAAAAATGCCTACCATGTCTGTTGATAGCACAGTGCTTGGAAGTATAGTATATATTTGGTTTTATAGATTTGCAGTGTTCAACAGCACTTGCTTCCTGTCCAGTTAATATGTAAGATACTCTTTTGCATTTGAGCCAAAGAACTTTCTATTAATGGCTCCTGACTTTGAAAGTTCAAAGTCCTTCCTAGGTGATATGCCCTAAAGCAACAGACACTCAAGTGAACCTCTACAATCACTGGTTTTTCAAAGTTTAAAAGACCAGAGTTCACTGATTTTGATTGAAATTTCTTTGTTGTATTATCAAGTCTGGCTGGAAAAACAAAACAAAACAAAACAAAACAAAACACAACAAATACAACACAACACAACACATAGCTTGGACAAGTCTACTGCCCAAGCCAGAAAATGTACCTTTTCTCTGCCATTCTCAGAGGCTTTGCATTTACTCAATGGATCCTTTCCAGAGGGGTCATTCTCACATGCAAGGCATAGTATCTCACACAGCAGGGACTAAAAATTAATGTTTCTAATAGAGAAATGATAGCCCCCAAGAAGGATTAGCTAACACAATGCTATTTCTGAAGTTAAAATCCTAGCTTAGAAGATTCTCTAGAGAACTACAAAACAAGGGAGTTTAATTTATTGTCCTTAGATATCAAGATTAATTCCTAAGTCCCTCAATGTTTGGGAGAGAAGCAGCTGAAAGAAGCTGAAGTAGTAAGATATATGTGACCAAATCTGAAGTTTAACAAGGCCTTCAAGCTCAAGAGAATGTGAATTAATAGTGAGATGACAAATAATGCAAAAGCATGAGTATTTTAATGCCAGCAAAGAAATTATGTTCTCTGTTAGATCGATGAACTTTTTTTTCTTTCAGTAATAAACCTACTTATATTGCTGGGTACCACACTTTGGGGTTATTATCCACATTTTGGTTACAAAATATGAGCATGGCCCCATCTGAGATTTATGGTTGTAACTTTAACTACAATTTTGTGCTTTTCAGGAAGCAAGAATAGAGGAATACAGCAAGATGAATCATGATTAGGATTCTGCTGACAAAAGAGGGGGCAAGAGAGACAACATGTGCAAAGAAGTGAATGAATATCATGACAATCTATGGAAGCTAAGCTTAAAAACAAAGTAGGCAATTTAAGACACAGAGGCAACCAAGTAACAGTGTCAAATTACTGAAGGTCAAAATGAGAATAAACTGTAGAGTAAGAGTAGGAGAAATGAGGAATGTAGTCAGAGAATGAGATGATTTAAATCAAGATTTTAGAGGTGGTGAAGGTATTGATGACAAGATGTAAATTATTATCTTGACAAGTATTTGAGCTGTAAGTGGAAAGCAGGATAACTAAAGAGATCAGGAAACAACGACTCCAGGCTGCTGAATGAATCATCAGTGTGGATTTTGATTGGACATTACTAAGAATGACAACATGAAGAGTAGTAGCAAGGAGGACAACGGGCTTGACACTAAGATCTTTAGTGACTAAAGACAAACTGATGAAGACACTAGATGACTAACAAAGAACAGGCAATAAGATGAATAGTCTGATAGGTAAAAATCATTTATGTAAAAAGTTTTTAAATACAAATTTTTCTTAAAAAGTACAAATTCATAAACTGCACATGTCGTATGAACATAAATTGGAAGTACATAACAAAAATCATAATTGTAGTTGCCTAAGATGAGAAGGATATGGAAACAGAACATTATGACAAAGTTAAACTAGAAAGGTAAACTTCAACAATCTCATATGTTCTATTACAGTGATTTCCAACTGGTGTGCTGTGGCACACTGGTGTGCAGCAAGAAATTTTAGAACATGCAATACCTGACTGTTTAGTTAGGGGCACTGATCTCTTTTCCCTTAGATTGTCAAATGAAAAAATGACAATAGCCTTGGCCAGTGTGGCTCAGTTGGTTGGACTGTTGTCCCATAAACTAAAGGGTTGTGGATTTGATTCCAGGTCAAGGGCACATGCCTGGGTTGCAGGTTTGGTCCCCAGTCAGAGCACATGCGAGAGTAATCAATTGATGTCTCTCTCTCACATCAATGTTACTCCCCCTCCCTCTCTCCCTTTCTTCCCCTCTCTCTAAAATAAATAAGCATTCCTTTGGGTGAGGATTAAAAAAAAAAGCCTACATCTCTAATCCTATGTATGTACTGTAAATAAAAAATGACAACAGTCAACACAACAATAGCCGTCCAGTGTTTATGCCCTGTCTTAAAACATAAATATACAGGTCATATAACAGAGTTACATCTTAATTGGTCATGCTGCATAATAAGGCTGTACCTTGTTTGTTAATTCTTGGTACCAGAAATCCTCATATACAAGTAAGTATAGGTACCTACTTTCTAAAAAGTCACTACGAAAAAAAAAAAGGGTGGGTAATTTCTATTATTCTCTTTTTTGTAAATCAATCAAAATCAATCTAATTTTTTTGGTCAGTTTGGCAAAAAATACATTTTTTGGTGTGCCACAGAACTTTAGTAGTTTATATGTGCCCTGAGATGAAAAAGGTTGAAAAGTGTTTTTCCATTAGTTCAATAACAGGTGCATATAGGGAAATTAACAAATCATTCTTTAATTACTATTCTTTAGGACTAGTTCTTCCATTTTTAAAATGTGTTATTGTAAATAAAAAGAGATAATTCAATAAATTTTTTTTTCAGTTCAACATATTTGTAGAAACCAGCCTGGCTATTTGTATATTTGGCCATAAACAGCATACCAATTCTTAATTCATGGAACTGTCACAAATTTGCACATAGTTGTCTCTTTTTTACTTGTTTCTCCCATCCCACCTTCCCTTTGGCAACCATCAGCTTGTTCTCTATCTATAGGTCTGTTTATGTATTGTTTATTCCTTTGTTTTTCTTAAGATTCCACATATAAGTGAAATCATATAGCATTTGTCTTTCTCTGGCTTATTTCATTTAGCACAATACCCTACAGGTCTATCTATGTTATTGTAAATGGTAAGATAGCATTCTTTTTTATTAGCTGAGTAGTGTACATAGTTGTTTTGAATAGATATGTTAACATAATAAGATTCATAGTTAAACTGGAGAATAAAATAGCTTACTACTGAATTTGCATCTCTAATCACAAATTAAAATACAAAAAGCCCTCACACAAAGTTTGTGTGCAAGATCAATTATATGCAAGCATTTTAAACAAGTAGCAAATTTTTTTTCTGACACAAATGAAACATGACATCATTCTTGTCTATTAAAGAGACTGAATACTATAATTTAGTTATACTTGAGTAAATAAGGACTCAATGAGCAGATAATAAAGATGTATCATTGGAGGATAGTATATACATTTCTTTCTTGTATTATTTAAAAATTAAAAAAAATAATCCTAACCCAAGGGCATTTTTTCATTGCTTTTAGAGAGAGGAAGCAGGAAAAAGAAACATTGATGTGAGAGAGAAGCACTGGCTGTTTGCCTCCGATACACACTTAGACTGGGGATCAAACCGGCAACCTAGGTATGTGCCATGACTGGGAATTGAACCTGCATTTTTTCAGTTATGGGACAATGCTCCAACCAACTGAGCTAAACCAGTCAGGACTACATTTTGGAATACAATTTGTTACTACAGTGATTAGTGCTGGTAATGAAGTCTGACAAGTTTAAAATTGGAAATATTGCCTCTTACAAAATCACAAATACCTCTACAATTTAAATAAGGAATGTTTGGAGAAGCAGATTATAAGGAGTGCATTTAAGATCTTTATATTACACATTGGTGCTTCTAATATCAACTCTGCAAACAAATAAAACTTGCATTTTTTTCAATCAACACAAACACATTAAAATATATTTAAATCTCATCTCAGCTTGTACATTAAAAAAACTGACAATCAAATAGGAAACATTACATAAGTACTTTCATAACAATTCAGTTCTAGGCAACACAACTGTATTGTACACAAATATAGTTAGGCAATACAGTAGGAGCTTGTAGTACAGAAATAGTATGTGTGTACAGTTGAGAGTATAGAAAAGTGCAAGTTTTAGAAATACTGTATTTTAAATTGGTGTTTCTCAAAGTGTGGGTCATGAACCAGAATCACTAGAAGCATTAGAATTATCTTGCTTGTTAAAAGAATCAATTGCTGGTAATGGAAAAAAATACAACAAAAAATAAACTACTAAAAATATCTAAAAAATAAATGAAAGAATAAATTGCCTGTTGAAGTAAATTTCTGTACTCCAAAACTATTAAAATAAGAATCTGCATTATTTGGAAATACCTTTGGCAACTGATATTTACATAAAAGTTTGAGAATCAATTACTGCTATAAAATGGGCCCATCATTATGAAGATTCTAACTTAAAACTGATTTTTAAAATCTATTAGGTCAAAATGCTTAATAGTTCCTTTAAAAATATTTGTATATTGCTTAAACTTTATATTGGGAAACTTTTATTAAAATATATAACATCTAAGGATATAATAACATGGATTAAGGCAAAGAGACTTACAGTTGGTGATATCAGGTGGAGTGTAGCCATCATTCATATACATACTTGTGGGTTTTGCTACCTTCAAGTAAACAAAATCAGATGTGTTCTTTAAAGCAGTCACTGCTTCTTCATGAGTAACTTCTTCTAAACACACACTATTCACCTAAAAGAAAATCCCCAAGACATTTATTTTAAAACATTTTCACTTGCTTTCTTTTTGGTGAGAAAAAATTACATCTGAAGATATGGAAAATATGGGCTGATCTAAGGAATACAAAGGGGTGTGGAAAGAAAATACCCATTTTAATTGTCTATATTAGGGAGTTGCTTATGGTAATAAGTGAAGTTGTTTTTATATGCTAATGAACAGCCAATCTTGATTCCAGCCCCTATTCCCTTCCAATCCCCAAGGCTGAAACTCCTTCCCTGTAGGCAATTTTAAGAATGTGTGTAGGTATATTTTAGTCGTTTTTTTTTTTAAAGAAAATGAGACCATATTAAGGTTTTTGTTCTGCAACTGGATTTTGACTATAATGTATCTTAGAGATGATTCCATGTTGGGCCACAAAGAACTGCCTCATTTAAAACCTTGTCATACAATACCTCATTGTGTAGTTCTATAATAATTTATTCAGCCACTCTAATCTTAACAGATATTTAAACCATTCTTCTAAATGAATGGATTTAGTAATTTATACACACAGAATGAGTGCTCATCTACTCAGACTGTTGCAAACACTGAATATTATCAATTTATTAAAAAGCCTGCAAAATGATGCATATTTTAATTTGTACATCAATTATACTTAAATTTATATTTCGATTTTTAATATTCAGGCTGAGGTTTTTTTTCAATTATTTATTGGTGTCCATTATGTATCTTCTGTGTAAAAGGAGTAGTTTTAGGTGGTGGTGGTGAATCCTGCAACCTTGCTAAACTTATTAGTTGTATTAGTAGGTTCCTTAGGATTTTCTATTGCAAATGTAATTGTACTTTTTCCTTCCCAATCTGAATGTCTTTTTATTGTCCTGCCTATCAGCAGCATGGCTGAATAGAAGTGTGGTACTTTGTGTCTTTTTAGGAATTTGTCCATTTCATTTCTCTAATGAGTTGGCATATAGTTTGTTCATAAATAAAAGTATTGCCTGTGTTTTTTAATTCTTACTTTTAGAAACTTGAGGCTTCTTTTCTTCTTGGTCAGTCTAGCTAACTGTTTGTCAATTTTGTTGACATTTCAAAGAATCGAGTTTTTGTTTTGCTGATCTCTTCTATGGTTTTCCTATTGTCTATTTCATTCATTTCTACTCTAATCTTTATTATTTCCTTTCTTCCTATGCTAGCTTTAGGTTTAGATTGACCTTATTTTTGGTAAAATTTTTTGGCAAGGAAATAAAATACTATTTTTTTTTAATTCTAAAATTTAGTGTATTTGTCATTGCCCTAATTTATACCTGTATAATCAACAGGGGAGTTTTAATGTTTTGGAAAAAATCTCTAAACATCACAGAACTAACTTTCCCCATTGATTATTAATATTCCTTTGCAGGGTTTCAGTTGCATAATTTTTATAGTCTCAAACTACCATGTATAGTTAGTACTGCCTGCATTTTGAAATATATCTGTGGTATACTTTTCCTTTGGTGGCCTGCAGTGAGCCATGCATCTTGGTATTCACATTTTGTAAGATCCCCTCCTACACTGAATCTTGCTGGGCCATGTAACTAGCTTTAGTCAATGACACATTAGTAACTGATGCAGACAGAGGATTGATAAATGCCACGCACTGGATCTTGTCCCAGAAAGCTTTCTGTTGGTATGCTCCTCATAGAACCTGACCACCTGTGAGACACCCAACTTAGCCATCTGGAGAGGCCACTGGAGAATTAACACTTGGTTAATAGCCCCCGTTGAGGTATCAGCTGACAGCCAACAACAACTTGTCTGCCATATGTGAGCAAACTTGAAAGTAGATCCCTGGCCCTAGTTGAGCCACCTCAGTTGACATTATGGGGAATTGAGATAGGCTGCCCTATCTCTACTTGAATTGCAGAACAGTAAGCAGATCAATGATTGTCTTAGTAGAGAGAGAGAGAGAGAGAGAGAGAGAGAGAGAGAGTTAGTTAGCATTAGATAAGTGATAAAAGAGCTGACAAGATTTGCTAAGGGATTCAATGTGGAATGTGAAAGAAAGAGGGTTATTCTTAAGTTAGATCTGGGCAAATAGAAAGATAAAGTTCTCATTTAATGAAATGTGAAGACTGTGCAAAGAGCAGGAGGGCAAGGACTGGGGGAAGGACTCAAAAATTCATTTTTAGATATATTAAATTTGAGATGACCTGAGACATAAAAAGGAGACTAGATGAAATCTCTTAGGTTTTTCAAATGTTGTGACAAGAACAAAAGTTAGAACTTTTTTATATTGGGTTGACCAAAAAGTTTGTTTGCTTTTTTTCTATAGGATAGCTCTTGTAGCACTTAGTTGTTTTTAACTTCATTTGAAATAATTTTGTTAGACTGTACTGTGACAGAGAAAATATGCAACATTTTTGGCATATTATGCTTTATTTCTTCAAGAGAGATAAAAACACAACTGAAGTGCAAAATAAGATTTGTGGAGAAGGTACTGTGACTGACCAAATGTGTTAAAACTGGTTTGCAAAATTTTGTGCTGGAGATTTCTCACTAGATGATGCTCCATGGTCGAGTGGGTAGACCAGTTGAAGCTGATAGCGATCAAATCGAGACATTGAGAACAATCAACATTATATCACATGGGACAGAGTTGACATACCTAAAATATACACATCAATAAAGTTATTGGTCAAAGTGAAAAATGTGTCTTTATTTTACAGAAAATACTAAACAGACTTTTTGGCCAACCCAGTATTTTGACCATGCACAAAAGTGGTGTTCATGTGAAAAAAAAACAGAAGTTCAGAAAACAATACTTATCAGTATCATGTGCAAATGAGACCCATTAAGTCATCTGACCACTTGTCAAAGAGAGAAGAAGAAATATACAAGGATTGAGTTTGGATCATTTTACATTTAGAGGTTAGGGAAAAGATGCACCAAAAAGGAGAATGAGGAGTAACTAATGAGGTACAGGAAATATGAAGACAGAAGGTTACTGTTCAGCAAATGAAAAAACTGTCTGATGAAAGAAGGAGGTATGTCAAATACTTGATGTGTCAATTAAGATGAAAACTAAGAACTGAATAGTTTCAGTGGAATTATGACAACAAAAGCCTCATTAAATGTTAAATCGGTATAAATTGTTGGCTCCCTACCACTAAAACATTCTGAGGAAACCATATGGTATCCAAGACATTAAAAAAATAACAGTTGAGAAACAGTGGAGAAGGAAATTTCTTCTGAACTACTTCTCATATGTGTGTGTGGTGTTTGGTGGGGGGAGAGGGAGGGAGGGAAGGGGGGGGAGAGAGAGAGAGAGAGAGTGTGTGTGTGTGAGTGTGTGTGTGTCCAGGTGATGGTGAGGGGGCGTTGGCTATAGTTTGGAAAAGAGTGACAAGTCATAGCTCTGAGAGGGAGGGTAAGTTAGGGAAAAGCATTTCAAGGTCAGTTCCTTTCTCTTCTCCATCATTAACTAAAAAAAAGATTCAATCTGTCTCCTTGCTGCAACAATAAGCAGTACTGGACAGCATGCAGAACAAAGGAATCATTTATATATTGCTGATACAAATGTAAAATCTTTACAAGCAGTTTGGAAAATGATAGTTATAATGTTACTGATACCCCATGATGCAGTAAATTCCATGCTTAGGTAAATACATGAAACTCTTGTACCCTATACATGTTCACTAGAACACATAGTAGGTTCTCCCAGCAAATTATTCATAGTAAAAAAAAAAAACAACCAAACAAACATAAAAAGAAGAAAAGAACCCAATTTGCCCCTACATGTGCCTTTTCAGATTTACTTGAACCTACTTGCCCATGAGGCTTTGGCTGTTTGCTTAGTGGAGATTCCTGGCTACTTCTCTTCTCACCTACTATTACCAGCTCTTTCAACCTTTTCTGCAGTAAGGACTGGGCTTGGGCATGGCTGATATGTTTCACATAGTGAGAGTCTAACACGTCAAAAGCCCATCTCTGACCTGCATAGATTACTAAGGCTCCATCTAGCTCCTCTCACCATTTCCATGTTCAGGAGAAGTGTTGTGCCACAGAGTGAGGGAGCTGATTTCTCTAGAATTTTCCCAAAGGAGTTGGGTAATAGAGTCCGAAAATTAACCCCCTTAGGACAAATTCTAATTACAGAGAGATGGAGGACTAAAAGGGCCAACAGACAAATCCTTTCTTTTTCCTGATGGCTTGATCTAAGGCTTAGTGGTTTTACATTACTTGCTTGGAAGACTGTCCTACATGACAAACAATCAAGTGCATTTTCTTATATTATAGCAAGCTCGGAAACATAATGCCTGGTATTGGCTTTCCCTTATTCTCTGCCTCACTTTTTTCATTCACTCTAGGTTTGTTAAGATTCCACTCCCCCATTACACATTGTTAGTATGGTGGTTTTTCTTCTATGGAACATGCATGGGCTAAGACATTTATTGATGAAGATTAGATAAATTGTAGTATAGTCCCAGAACAGAATATTAAATAGAGGTGAAACGGATAAATTTCAGCTCTACTCAACAATATGGATAGGTCTGAGTAAAACAATATATAGTGGAAAAAGTATTAAAAGAGTATATGTAGCATAATAGCCTTTTAGAAAAATTTCAGTAAACAAAATATTTAGACAAATATATGTGTGATTAAACAATTTTTGAAATGTAAAGGAATGACAAATTATTGTTCTAGTTCTTGGTTTGGAAAATGACTATCAGTTTTCATTATATTATAAATAAACTAATCAATTAATTTAAGTGTGAAACTAAAAAGAAAAAAAGGTCACACACGAACAAAGGATGACACTGTGGTATGAATCTAAGAATTATATTAAACAATTCTGTACATCCAAGCCCCTAACCCTTCAACAAAAAATTGAAAAGGGGGTGGGGAGGGGTGGGAAGAACAACAGAAAAACGGAGGGGGAGCTGGAGGAAATAGAAATGAAAAACAAGAGATAAAACCAAGAATTATTTGCAGGTTTTGACTAAAGTAGGGCCAATTTTTACTCATTTAAATCACTTCAACATTTCTGGAATGTTGAAATTCCAGAGTCTGTCGGGAAAAAATGACATAATTTATAAAATAACATTTCTAATACTTACTGCTAAAAGTTTATCTCCAATCTGAAGTTTACCATCTTTATGTGCTGCACCTCCTTCAATTATTTTGGTTACATAGATGCTATTATCCCCAGGAATATGTTGATTTCCAACACCTCCAGCAATGCTGAACCCAAGACCTGTTTAGAAAACACTAGTTTTAGAATCTCATCAATAAAAGTGAACTTCAGTCCACAAAGAAATGAATGTAAATTAAGTGATAATTTCATACTAATATTTTTAAAAAAGAAAGGGATCTACTTACCTACTCTTAAATTTTTAAATATTTGTTCTGTAATCAGGGGGCAACTGTAAATATAGGTGCTCCTTTCTCTCCCTCCCAGGTTATGTCTTAAAGTCTCTTTGTAAATGAGACTTTAAACAGGTTTGTTAGTTCAAAGAGACAAATTATGTAAAATTATGTTTCACTGCAGTTTCCAACATTATCTGCTTCTTACTAATACTTTTAATACCTTCATGAGATTGAAACAATTAAACTGCTGGTGGTAGGCAGAAGAGGCTTCAGAAATGTGGATAATTTTGCTATTTTTACAATATTCTATGAATTAATTTTAAATAAGACATTTCTGGAATTCATAAATCCCACAGCTTCAGTACCAAACAAATTTGTAGCTCTCTATTCCTTTTTTTGTTCGTTGGAGTACCATCTCTTCCATGAACCACAAACTGGAATCAATATTTCTATCTATCCTCTATTCCATCAAAGTTTTCAAGATTTAGAACTCACATGTTAACATTAAGTCTTCATTGCAGATGAACTACTAATGATGCATTCGTATTTTCTTCTTTTAACTTAGTTTATGTACTTGCATTTAACATACTATAAAGGTTACAAGTTAATATCAACATTATACGTTACTTCCAAGTATTTAAGTAAAATTCTACTTAAGACAAAAATCAGTAGAAGTAACAGAAATTCTAAAAATTCATGCAAGTTCTACAGATTACCAGTATTGTTAATCTTAGAATGTGTCATAATTAACTTCTTAGTTATATTTAACTCAAAGATTTTTCACTCAACTTGCCATAGATTGATTTATTTATACCTTTAGGACCTTTAATGAGCTTTATTTCCATTATTTTTTCAGATACTGGTTTCCGTCTTTTTACATACAAGTGTACGATAGACCCTGCTTCTTTCAATGCTTCAACTGCTTTGCTATGTGTTACATCACGAACATCTACTTCATTTACTCGCAATATACAGTCATTGACCCTGAGGAAAAAAATTAAAAATAATAAATATTAAAATGTAAATATCAATTTTTCACTTTGCCAATTTTTGTTGCCCTTTTCATTTTATGGTAAACAGGATCACTTACTAGAGAAAATATAAATGAAGAAACTTCATGTTAAGTTCCAATGTATCAAATACTCATAAATACAAACATTTCCCAATGGCCAGCAAAAGAAACAGTGCAAGTAATGGATTATACAAAAATATTGAATAATAATGACAGCTGTATGCATATTACCTGTAGGCCTTAATATTTTACAAAAATAACAAATATTTATTTAGCATTAACCACATGCCAGGTATTCCTCTTAGTGCTTAACCCTTGTAAGATAGGTACATATTTATATCACTATTTTACAGATGGAGCTACACAAGGAGTTTGAATAACTTTCCCAAGGCCACTCAGGTAATGACCGACAGAGTTGTGATTCAAAGAAAAGAAAACTGAGGCCCAGACTGAGTAACTAGTTTAAGGTCACAGAGAAAGTAAGCGGCAAAACTGAGATTTACCCAAAAATAAGTTTTAATTGCTTTTTCCAGCTTACTTGATTTAAAAAAATTGTTATCCATTGATATTCATGTATCTTAATTAAAAGGTTTCTCATGTAAGTAATTTATCTTAATTTGACATAGTAAAATGTCAAGTTGTTTTGTTCCTAGTTCTCATTTTTCCCCCTGCTCTGATCTCAGTTTGGGGGAAAGAAGATGGTCATTTCAAATTGGGCAGGGAAGGGGAAAAAAACATAGTTAAAATGTTAAAAGTGATCCTGATAAGATTCTATATCTAACTGACTTTTAATATTTAGAGAAAAGAAATTCTATCCAAAGACAGTGGTATCTTATAAATATGTTCTTCAGTGAAACTAATGGAACATACTAATTTTCATATAAGATGCACAAATAAAAGGTAACAGAGTCAGGAAGTACATGTCTATATAGTCATATTGTTAATTTTTGAATAGTCAAATTATTAATTTTATATTTAACTAATTTCATTAGTATACCATGTTATACCCAGTGAGTTTAGAAACTGAAGAGCTGCATGAAATACCAGTAACCTTAAAATGTTTTTAACAGACCATATAAAATACTTAGTCCTGAAACTTCAGATTTGTCTATATCTGTATCGCCCCATCTGTCTATAGCAAGGGAATAAAAAAGTGCCATAATTTATGGCCTAAGGAAATAAATAGGTATGCTAAAGATATCTCCTGAAATGGAACACTAAATTTAAACAAAGGACCAACGTTATTTTCATCTCTTCAATTAAGAAAAATACATTTGAAGTTTGCATAGTCTTTATGGTATGAAATACAAACTCATATATCTGATCCTTATATCTTGAAATAAGTTTATATATATTTCATACTCAGAAAACACGAAATATTTCATGAATTTATTTGAAAATACAAAAGATAAAATTAAATTCTTAAATGAAAGAAACAATGCTTAGAGCACAATTATATCATTCATTCATTCATTCATTCATTATTTTGGCATCTATCTTATGTTAATTATTATGATACTGTTTCTTTTTGTATTTATACCTTGCTTAGTTTGCCTAAATAAAAATATACGAGGTGGATTCACTATCATAACAAAGTACAAAACATACCTCAATCTTCCATCTTGAGCAGCTGCTCCCCCTGCAATAATTTTGGTAATGAAAATACTTGAGTCATCTCCAATGTGTGGGTTGTCCGTACCTCCTGCAATGCTGAAACCAAGCCCTGAATTTCCCTGAGGACAGAGGAAAAAAATTCAAGACTCAATAAGAATTATCTTTATTGATAGGCCTTAGAAACTGTACTAACCCAGGGAACAAGTACATAAAGGCGTGTGTGCAGGGAATGTTAAGTATTCTAAATTAAGAAATGTAAGGAAGCTTTTTTCCTTCTCTTATGAGGAATTGAGGCATTACTGCTGAGGAGGTGAGGTTGAAGAACATGTACAGAGTACACTTTTGGAGTCTAGTCTATGCTTCTTTCTTTAAAAGAATGTGTGATCTGTCCTTGGATTAGTCACCCATCTGCAAAAGTGCCACTACTAGATCTCTTTCTTTTAGACAACACCTCACTTATGTTCGGATAGGCTAATGTCTTCTAAGAGAAAAACACTGGGTCCTTCCTGTTGCTATTATTTCCAAGTAGGTAAAACCAATATATTTTAGTCTTTTAAAAAACGGGTAGGGGGTGGTGCTTTTCTTCTGCTAACTTTGCCATAAGCTTATTTTTAAAATGATAACATTTTATTTGCTAAGGAACAGGTGCTATCATCCTTGACTTGTTTAACCAGGATACCTGACTAGCAAAAGGCATTTTTTAAAATATTGGTTCAACCTGAAAACTTAATATTGGTGAGTTTTCTTGAGAGCAAAGTCAATTTGTCAAAGCAGTACTCCTTTTTGCTTCTTTTACATACTGGATTTCTGAAAAATATTTTCTTCAAAGAAAGGTTCTACTGCTGCAAAAAGTCTCTAAAGACAATTAATCTAAACAATGGTTATTTAAAAATATCTGTTTTGCAATGTTTTGACTCTGGCTTTCAGCAACACAAATAACTGAACATATCTGGACTTATTATGTAACTGTTAGTATTAAATAATTTAATCAGTTACTCCACTATGATATGGCCTAAAATTCTATTTTAATAAAACACTTTTTTTCAGTCTAAACTCTTCAAGACTTTCTAGAGTTTCAGTAATAGTATCAATAGGTTGTGTGAGGTTATCAAGTACAAGTTTTTTTAAATTTGTTTTTTAATAAATTAAGATTCAATTTACATATAACTGTAAGTTTAAGGTGTACCATTTGTTGATTTGATACATTTATATATTGCAATTGACTACCACTGTAGCTTTATCTAACATTTCTTTTCTGTGGTGATAACATTTAAGATCTAGTCTCATAGTAATTTTGAAGTATACTATACAATATTGTTTACTCTAATCACTATGCTGTGCATTAGGTCTCAGGAACTTAGCCATCTTCTAGTTGCAGGTTTGTACTTTTTAACATTTCCTCAATTCCTGACACATGTAAATTTTTTAATAAGTGAAAATACAATCAGTCTTGTATTTTATTCTTTTATTTCTTTATTTGGGATTTAAAAGGCACTGGGAGAGAATAAAATATGAATAAGAGAAGTTACAATTATATGTCAATTATCTACATACAGCTGGAAAATACCCCAAAAACAAAATAACCACACTGAAATATGTACAATACGTGAATATGGCACTTAATTGAAAGTCTTCAGCCTCACTTTAACAGGTGACCCAAATTCAGGTAGAAGGCAATAAATAACCATTATACATACAAAAGACCCTCCAAGGTCTAATTTTACTCAGTCTATTCTGGCTTCAAACATAAGCAAATATAATTATTTAAGATTTTTGTCTTAAATACAGGATGGGGTAAAAGTAGATTTTTAGTTGTGAGAATATAAAACAGAGTTTATTCTTGTATTATTTGTTAATTATTGTGTTATTTTTCCATATGAACTGGTAAGCCTATTTTTGTCCTATCCTATATGCACATATTCAGTTACTCAGGATATTCACGTGCATAGAACATTTAATTTTCCCAAAATGCTGGTCATACAAGGTGGTTTTACTAAAATATGGCATCAGTTGAATGCAGATATTCTTAAAGGGAAAATATAGCAAGAAAATTTACACATCTGAATTGTACCCTTAAGTTATTTTCTGACTGCGGGAGTATATAGGTTTATGACAGGGTCTTGTCAATTAGAAATATGGTTATTATTTTACTAGGTAAGAATACTGATACAATGGCCAGGTTACTAAGTACATATTTAAAATAAATAACATTTTATTATTTTATGTAAAATAAATTAAAAATTAAATAAAAATAAAATTAAATTAAAAACAGAAAAATCTGAGAAACTGTCAAGTCTAAAAGAGCCTAAGGAGACATGGTAACTAAATACAATGTGGTATCTTGGATGAGATCTTGGAAGAGAAAAACATCAAAACTAAAAAAATTCAAATAAAGTGTAGACTTTAGTTAACAATAATGTATCAATATTGGTTTGTTAGTTGAAACGAATGTATTCTAGTAATGTAAGATGGTAACAATAGGTGAAACTGAGTTCCGGATGTGGGGAACTCTGTATAACTCTTCTATAAATTTGAAGTTATTTTAAATAAAAAGTTCACTTTAAATAAAAAGTTATTTTAAATAAAAAGCAACATGTTCTGAAAATGTCATGGCTAATTTTATGATATGTGAACATATAAAAGAAACAAATACTACATGCCTTTTTAACATTTTAATTTAAAAACTTTTAATTAAATCACATTGTATTTAATGTTATAAATGCTTGAGATATTTTTCCCCATTTATTAACACTCTTGGTGTGTTATCTTTTATTATTTTTTTTACCCTTTATTGTATTTTTTCCATTACCATTTAGTCCCTTTATAGCCGCCCCGCCCCCCCAGCAATCACCACAGTGTTGTCCATGCCCATGAGTCCTTTTTCTTTTTTGCTCTTTTTTCCTTCACCCCCTAACTTCTCCCCGCCACATGTTTGTTTTTTGAAAGATCTATTTCCTTGGATTCTATATGAAAGAATAGTACTGAATATTTAAAGAGTTTTTCTAAGCAACAGATTTATGCATAAAAAACAAGATAATCAATAGTTTTTACCCTTTCAAGTGTGATTTCTTCATATTCATAATCTGCATCAGTGCCATTAACCTAATGGGGGAGGGGAAGAAATAGCATAGAAATTTAGAGCGCAAAATTTGAAATGGTAAGACATAATTTTTGCATGATTTATTAACAAAAACCTCTTAAATATGATAGCAAATAATATAGCTTCATTTTAATAATATAAGAAAATTTTCAAGGAATAGAAGAGTAAAATGTGATTAATGAGCTGACATTCATGGAATTATGACTTTCAAATACAGAAGGGTACATTCAGCTTTTAATATCAAACTCTGACTCTTCTCTGCCTTGCTTCACACACCTTAATCAGCTGCCAATTCTTACTGACTTAAATACTTCTTCAGTTTTTCTGAAAACCATCATCTCATTCTCACTTCTATTACTTTGGTTCAAGTCTTTGTTAATATCCTCAGGACTACTGCCAATGTAATCTACCCAATCACTTAGATTAGTATTCTCCATTGCTCGAATCATTCTAATAAGTTTCATGCAAATCTTTTTTAGAGCCCATCTCTAATGACACACTTCTAGAACTTTCAGAAACTCATACAAAGCTCTGCATGAACTTACCCCAATCTCTCAGCTTCATTCCTAACAAATACATCTCACCTCTTCATGAACCTTATATACATGCCATCAAATTTGAATGATTTGCTCTTTCCATTACATGTACTACAAGTTCCCACCTCCGCATGTTACTTCAGTGCTTCCTCTGTCACACATTTCACTTACATATTTCATGCCCAAATTTGATTTACCATTCAAGTTCTTGCTCACCTTTTATAGACCAAGTACTTTCTCTTATTCCTTCCAATTTATTCCCTATTCCCTCCTAGAAGAAGTAATTCCCACAATGAGGGTCATTGGTGAATGAGTTGTCCTTGGAATCAGATTAACTTGGGTTCAAATCACTGCTTTAACATTTCTGCTGACATCAGGCTGGGCAGAGTACTCAATCTAGTAAGTCAAATAGGAACTGTGATAAATTGGATTTCTCTAGATTCTTACCACCTTCCACACCATATGCTCTTTTGTGATCTGATGAAACTATCCTATGATCAAGATGTTGCGATTTCTCCTCCTGGATCTAGGTCCTAGGTGACTTTTGTTAAAAAAGCATGTGGCATAAATGATGTATTGTTTCTGAAGCTAAGTCATGTGATGCCATATAGTGTTCATGTTTGTCTTAGGAACACTGCCTTGGAACCCAGTACCTAAAAAATAAGGAAGAAGCTCAGCCTGTGAGGAGATTCAAATAAAGGAGAATCAAAAACTTTGGCCAAAAGCCCCATGCTGCACTCCTAATCAGCAAGCAGCACCAATTGCCAGCCATGTGAATAAGGCTATTTTGGATCTTCTAGCCTTTTCCAATGCCCCAGCCAATACCATGTGAAGCAGCATCATTGAGTTAACCCAGAAAATCATGAGAAATAATGAACTGTTTTTTAAGCCAGTAAGTTTTAAGCAGTTTGTTACACAGCAACACAATAATGAAATGACAGAATAACAAAATTATGTAAGCTACTTCTCTTTCCTCACCATACTACCCTTAATTCAAGTCCAATTCAAGGGCTACGAGTCTTTTAAAACCCAAGTCTACTAGTTTTTTGGAGTTCTTATTTCTTATGGCCTATGGGATTCAAACCAAACAATTGCTACTTTGTTTCCTCTTCTTTCTCACCTGAAGAGATTTTTTTCTCATTTTTGAGATTATATGTTATAAATGTGCGAATAAATTATGATTTCTATGCATCTAGAGTTCAGGAGGGTTATATGTATGCATATCCTACCAACTTGACTGGAAGTCCTTTTTCTGAGTAAAAATCCCTATCAGCAGCTATACCACTTTTCTTATTATAAAGGTTATTTGTATCATCTTTGTTTTTTCTCTCAGACTTGCTGAAAGTCTGTCTTTGTTAAAGATACAGTCTTAACTGATTAGTCTATTACACTCTATGCTATTACTTTCTGCTTTTGTTTTTATCAATTCTTTATTCTTTTTTTAAAACTATTTAAGAAGTTGCTTGAGTTGAATGCCCAATTCATTTATGCTTATTACACTCTTCTATTTTTAAAAAATCCATCTAAATTAATAAATTTTCCTTAGCTTTGGCAACATCCCGAAATCGCTACACTGGGCTCTATTTTTGTTAATTTGTTCATTTCTAAATACAGTAGTCTGAAATTTTATTCCGGAAAACATTTTCAAGTGAGTGTGCTTATATGGTTCTTTTGGTGTTAATATGTAAAGGTTTTATATTGTGACTTATGAACTTCTGCTTTAAGGAATTTGAGATTGTCACCATTAAGCCTTCTCATAAGGTAGATACTTGGAATTTATACCTTTGGAATTTATTTAATGCCATGTGATGATGTATTGATATTTGGTGAGAATTCTAGGTAGCACAGTTTATAGAATGATTTTAAAAAGGTGAACAGTGAGAAGGTCATGCAGTCTCCAAGTGACTTATTCCTAAACTTTCAATAACTTGAAACTGATTATTTCATATATAGAGACAATTCAATTACTTTGAAACTGGGCTTCTAAATGCCAAGAGTACACTACCCAAAACATAAATTACTCAATGAAAAACATAAATTACTCATTAACAGTAAATGTGGAAAAAAAATGGTGGTGTAATATTTACAAAAGTAATACAGTTTCCAGCAAAACTACAAAGTGCTTAGTTTGCTTAGTTTTCTTTTGACAGTATCTCTACAGAATGTGTCTTCCAACAGGAAAGAAATATTTGGCTAATGGGTTTATTACTCTCAATTAACAGAATACAGTGAGAGATCATAAGGTGGGAACAAAATTAAATCCATCTTTAGACAATATGATTACTAAATGAATATATATCTTGGGAAAATGATGATCTCTACATTATATTCCTGATTAACAAAGAGATCTGCTCTCAAACTTTCTCAAGTATTCTTTAAAGTTACCAATAATGTTTTAGTTTTCTTACTACTAATTCTATATATTTCCTGTTAAGCTGACTACTAGGTGTTTCATATTTTTATTGACAGAATTAATAGCCTCATGCTTCCAACTGCTTGTTGCTAGTATATTGGAATAGAATTTATTGTTTAACTTCTAAAGTTATAAAGTTTTTTCTTTTTAATACAAGTTGCTTTCATTATGGGTACATAAAAGTGCTGTAAAGAAGCACAAGACAATTTATGACACACATCTCTTCAGTCCTTTATTGGCTCAAAGATTACACGTTTCTAATCAGCTACACTAATATATCCAAACAGCACAGACTAATCCTATTACATAATTGGCATAACACTTAAAGGAAGATTTTTATTTTTATTTTTTTTTAATATTTATGCGCACTTTATTCAGATGCTGGTAATCTAAGAAGATGGCAGGTTAGTTATGCTAAAAACCGTCTTTTAACATGTCATCTCAAGCCAACCTTTTTATATTGAAAAAAAGGTTACTTAGATAAGAGTTGCAGTTCAGCAGTGATTTTCCTAGTACTGCTTTATCTGCTGATCAACAATTCCTTTTTTAAAAAACTGTATTTTATTGATTATGCTATTATGGTTGTCCTGATTTCCCCCTTTTGCCCCCCTCCACCCAGCACCTCCTACTCTCTGAGGCAATCCCCAACCATTGTTTATGTCCATGGGTCATGTTCATATCCAAGGGTTCTTTGGCTACTCCCCTTTCATATGCTGTACTTTATATCCCCAAGCTATTCAGTTAACAATCTATTTGTACTTCAAAGGAAGATTTTTTTAAAAAAGCCTAATTATTTCCTGTTGTTTCGGTTCATTTCAGTAATACTTTAACTATAGAGTAACATGTTGATATTCATTTATATGACTTATGGTTTATATTAATGCATAATTTCAGGCAATTAAAAACCACAAATCTATACCAACAAAAGGTAATAAAATGTACTGGGAAGAAAAAAAATGTTCTTCCTAATGAAAAATTAACAGAACTAAATCAAAGTATTAACCCCAAAATAATTTACTTAAGTGTTTTTCCTAAATAATGAATAACCATTTGGGTTGATTTTAAGATACTGTATTTATCAATTATGCTACATGTGGAGAAACTGAAGCTTTCAGTATGTAAGAAAACTACCAGAGTCAAATTAAATAATTTTTCTTAACCTTCATTGTTAGTGATCTGTCTTAAGGAAAATAAAGACAAAAGAACAGATGGGAATTATTTCAACGCTTCCATTCATTACTGGAACCAACAGGATCTCTGGAATTTTTGTATTTAATTTTGCCTTTCCCTAACATTTTTACTGTTTAAAGAAAGAAAAGGAATGCATGAAGAGAAAAATCAACCCAAGGCCAATGAAATTATAATACCAATTAATAGTTAAAATTGAATATAACACATCATACTTAATGGTAAAAGACTGCAAGCTTCCACTGAAGGATCAGAAGCAAAATAAAGATAAGGATGTCTGTTTCTGCCACTTTTACTAGCCATTATAATGGATGTTTTAGCCAGGGCAACTAGCCAAGAAAAATAATTAAAAGGCACCTGACTAAAAGGGAAGAAGTAAAACTATCTCAATTTGCAGATGATATGACCTTATGTTGAAAATCGAAAGGAATCCACACCAAAAAACTATTAGAGCTAATAAATGAGTTCAGTAAGGTCAAAGGATTGATACCCAAAAATCTGTTATACTGTCATACACAAGAAATGAAAAATCCATAAATAAAATTAAGAAAACAATCTCATTTATATTAGCATTAAAAGAAAAGAGGAATTATTTTAACAAATGAAGTGTTAAGAGTTGTACACTGAAAATAGCAAAACATTACTGAACAAAATGAAAGACGTATTGTAAATGAATAGACATTTTGTGTCAATGGGTTAGAGGACATAATATTGATAAGATGGCATTACTACTTCCCAAATTTACCTATAGATTCTACTCAGTCCCCATCAAAATCCCAGGTGTCTTTTTTCTGTGTGCAGAAATTGATAAGCTGATCCTAAAATTCATATGGAAATGCAAAGAACCTAAAATAGCTAACAAACAGTTTAAAAGTCAGAGGACTTAACACTTTCTGATTTCAAATCTTATTACAAAGTCACTGTAATCAAGACTACTGGCATACCAATATACATGTAGATCAATAGAACAGAATTAAGTGTTCAGAAATAAACCCACATACTAGTGATTAATTGATTTTCTACAAAGGTGTCAAGACCTTTCAATACAGAAAAAACAGTTTTTCCAACAAACGGCGATGAGACAATTGGATACCCACATGCAAAAGAATTAAGCTGCACTTTTACCTTCCACAATATATAAAATTAACTAAAAATGGATCAAAGACCTAAAAGTAAGAGCTATAATTAAAAAACTCTTAGAAAAAAAAATAAGTGTAAATCCTTGTGACCTCTGGATTAGGCAATGGTTTCTTAGATACGAGATTAAAAGCATAGGACTTTTGTGATTCAAAGGAGATTATCAAATGTAAAAAGACAATCCACAGAAGAACCGGAGAAAATCTGTGCAATCATATATATGATAAATGACTTATATCTAGAATATATACAGAATTCTTACAAATTACTAATCAAAGATAATAATCCGGTTAAAAAATGGGCCAAGGATCAGGACAGACATTCCTCCAAAGAAGATATACAAATAGCCAACAAGCACAGGAAAAGATGTTCAACATTAGTCACTATGTATATGCAAATCAAAGCTATGAAGAATCACTTCATACCCGATAGGATGGCTATAATAAAAAAGTCCAAAACATTGTTGATGAGGAATGATAAGGCTGGTGAGAAGGTGGAGAAATTAAAACCGTCATTTACTGATGACAGGAATGTAAATGGCATAACTGCTATGGAAAATAGGCAGTTCTTCAAAACCCTAAGTATATATAATGCAGCAATTCCACCCCTAGGCAATGAAAGCAGGGATTCAAAATCAGAAGAAGAACAAACAAAATTTGGTATATCCACATGCCATAAAAGAAACAAAGTTCTGATACATGCTACAGCATGCATGAACCTTAAAAATATGCTAAGTGAAAGAGACCAGACACAAAAGGGTACATGCTGTATGCTTCTATTTATATGAATGGCCCAGAACAGACAAATACATTGGGACAGAAAGTAGATTAGTGGTTGTCAGGGGCTGAGGGAAGTGGAGAGTAGGGAGTAACTGCTAATAGGTATGTTTTTTTGTTTTTGTTTTTGTTTTTAAATAGGGTGATAAAATATTCTGGAATAAGAAAGTGGTGATGATGGTACGATACTGTAAATAACCTAAAAACCACTGAATTGCACACTTTAATAAGGTAGATTTTGTGGTATGTGAATATCTCAAATAAATTTCTTAAGGTGAAAAGGTAGAAAAAGGTGAGCTATAAATAGAAAAGCAAATTAAACCAATGGGTTAATGCATTTTAAACATATTAACAAAGTATAAAAAAGTTTATTAACACACTGTGCTGGTTGACGCTGGGGTAAAAAAAGATACTTTTTGTTGAAGAATAAATGGGTGAAACTCTATGAAGTGCAACTTGTCAGTAATAATCAAATCTAAAAATTGACACTCTGAGCAATCTATGTATATTAGTATGTTCTGATTATATACTTGTATATATACACAACATATCTATACAAAAATTATCAGTAGGGCGTTGGTTTTATATGGTAGAAAGTTAGAAACAAGACATGTATGCATGCATATGCAGAGAATGTTTATATATGGATATATATGATACTAATAACACTTTCTGGTTTAGTCAAGGGAAACTGGAAGACTGGAATCAGAGGTGGAAGGACGATTTATTTTTTACTGGATATTATTTTTTATCTTTTGAATTTTGCAGAATGTGCATATATCACCTGTTCAATTAATTACTTAATTTGGGGAAGTGTAATGATTACAGACAGGAAAAAAAATGTGTTCTAAGGTAGCAGCTGTAATTTTTCTTACTTTCATTCTTCATACATAGTTGATCAGGGAATTAACAAAGGAATAATAAATAAGTTTAAAAACGACTCTGGAATCCTACATGAAGCAAGAGCCACAGAGGATAGCTACTACCCAAACATTTCACACTGTGTTCTTGAAGTATGATAAAGCAGCAAATTTTGACAAGTCTTGCTTAAGGAATTAGAATATATCTTATTGCTTTATGTCCAGAAAGGGTTAACATATCAGGCCTAAGGCTGCTTACCTCTAGAAGGGTCTTAGAAGACATTTGGGAAATTGATTTTGGGCATGTTCACACCATTCTATAACTGAAAGGGTAATAGTTAACTGTGGCTAGATTTTATAGAGACAATGCATTTTATGCTGAACACCTATTTTCCCCTTCTGGGAGCCTGGAAATTTGGTATGTGCTGGAGACTGGGGGCCTAGCAGACCAACCGGCCATAAAAACCTTTGCACTGAGTCCGTATGAGTTTTCTGGGCAGTAACACCCTACAAAAATGGCTGCATTTATTGCTAGGGGAAAGAGTACTCTGTGTGACACCTCATCAGACAGAGTATAAGGAAACCTAAACATGGATTCCTCTACACATACAGTTATAATCTGACTGCAGATCCTGACTTAACTGCATAGCTGTAATAAATCTTATGCTGAGTCTTGTGAGTCCTAGCAAATCTCCTAAAGTGGGTACTGAGTGTTCTTGGAGATCCCCAACAAACCTTGCTTACCAGGAAAAATATTTTTTGAATGCTATGTCATACAAACTGGATATCATACTACTTCTACTTTATACTTGCTGCTTAATATGCTTATATTGCTTTCAATTAGTTGACATTTCCTCTAAAGTGCATATGTAGTTATTTTCTTTGTTGATACTGTTTTCTGTTAACCCTTATATATTAATATTTTAGTTGAAAGAGTTTTAAAAATGAAAATATTTAATCACTGACTCTGCCCCTAAGCAAAACATAAGTCAACAAAGAGAACAAGTGAAGGAGAAAGAAATGTGAAGAAAATGTTGACAAACGCACAAACAAAATTCAGCTTACATACTCTACATTGGTGTGAAAGGTAACACTGACTGGAAGGAATCTGAAAAAAAGTGTAAACGAGCATTTCTGTTTGTTTTCAATATTGTTTGAGGTCTTCCAAAATTCCCAAATATTTGATACATCCATATTCATATAAATAACAAAAAAAATATAAAGCCTGTGGAGGATGGTGAAGGCTGATGTCAAAAGCCAGGTTAAGCACTTGGCAAGGCCACACTCAACTGCTTGCATCTGCAAGGCAGAGCAAGCTGGCAACTGACGACAGCTTGAACCAAGGTGGGTTGAGAAGGGAGTAGATACCCGCAAGCTTCAGCTGAAGACGACTGCAACCTCTGCAGAAGAGAGTTTCATCGTGTAGATAGCCTGGGAATGGAATGATCTGTGCCCACAGCATTCCCCTAAGTCTGCAAAACTCCCTTGAGCTTTGTCTAACCAACCCCTATAAAATAAACGTGGAGACTGTGGTCATTGTCACTGTCTCTCCACCAGAGGACAATGCCTCATCTGGCCCTTGCTTTTCTCTAACCTGTCTTGTGTTGTCCTTTTCTCAATCTCCCGTTGCCCCGACTCAGGGACCACCACTCTGCATGGGTCGTGGCAAAAGTCAAATAAAATGTTTTAAAGTATAGCCTGAAATCAACTACAGTTCAAAAATAAAGGGAAAGGATCTTTATAGCTTATGAAAATATGTGCCATTTGAGTTAAAAAATGCACAGGCACTACTGCTAACATCTCCAAAGACATTTTCCTTTTGGGGTAAAAAATGTTTGATCAGATTCTGTTGTTCTGGCTATTTATCTTTTAAGGGAAAGAGGGCTTTTTAACAAATTAAGTTTGGAGAGAAGCACCAATCAATTTAAAGTTACATAGTTATAATTATTTTAATATGTGATTATACACATAAACCTGGTTATTAAAAATTAAGCCAATCAATTAGGCTTCTAAAATGACTCTCTGAACGTATGGCAGTGTGGTAGTGACCACTGGTCTGAAACAGCCTTTGGTGAAAGTTGATAATTTTAATTAAAAATAAAACCATAAATTTCTATTTCAACATTTCTGCTTTGCATAAGTATGAGGAAAAGAAAGGACCAAAAAAGAACAGTACTGCTTCATTTACTTTAACAACTGTGGCTTAGGGATAGAACATTTTGAGTACAATATATGAGAAAAAATGATGCTGTGATCTTTATATCTACATAAAAAAACTGAACAGGAAAAGCAGAATTATTTAAATTTGGGGATGAAATGGAACTTACATAAGTTGATGTTTCCAAATTATCTGTGTTGACCAGTACTGGAGGAGGATTTGCCTTAAAGAAAGAATTGTAAATGTGTTAGCTTAACAGGAAAATTGACACATTACATATTAATATACACACATGTTGGAAGCACATGAAAGATTTGCTGCTTCTTAAATTATAATTTTTCATGAGCTTTGCATATGTTCAGTAATATACCCAGGTTCTAGCAACAAAAGGGAAGATTATTTCTGCTAAAACAAATAATTTTCTTAAGATTTGCAAAGTAGTTCACCAGTCTTCTTAAAAAATCCACAACTTTTCTTTAGTATATCGAACAGCTCTTCCTGAATTGCTTAGAAGTCATTAGCTTTTCTGTTCCCAAGGATTCCATAAAGATTCTAATTATTTCTTTACCCAGAAAAAAAAAATTGGTCCCCACAATTGTTTGAACATGAAAAAAAATCTACCACACAAATCAATTATAATAAATTTTTTTTAGAAAACTGGAAATACACCCTATTAAAGTAAAAGCCTCCAATTATTTTCAGTTGCAATTATTGCCTTCCAAATGTTATTCTAGACAATTCAAAAGTGTACCAATGCTTACTAAAAAAAGAACCCCCTCCAAAAAAAAAACTATACATTTAATTAAGTTTGGATTGAAAAAGGCTTGGTTTTCTGGTTGAGATGGAAAGTAATTATTATGTAGGTGAAATAAAATTTAAAGCATAAATGCAGTTAATGCCAAATGAAAACCACAGAACATATCAGGACCATACCAGAAAACTGATGTGATTCCCCTCTAAATTATCCTTCTTCTACATATTTAAAGTATAGAGGTACTAAACCAAATGACATTTTCATAGAATAAAAAAGATGACTATCCTTTAAACAACTGTTAGCAGATATGTTTATAATAATTAATAGTTCTACTCCAATTAATAATTACATATAAAAGCTGTATGAAACATTTTATACAAAATAACCATTTTTTCCATGTGTATGGGCTTTTCTAAAAATGTGTATATTCAGAGTTCAAATGTTTTACATTATTTTCAGCAAAGTATGAGATATGGTTGATCATATAATAAAATGCTTAAAGGCAACACAGTTGAATAACTATATAGCGTGCATTTGGGCTACATGAATGAACAAGTTAAAAATGAGTAGGTAATACTTTATTATGTATAAGCATGACATTAACTTTTATGTGCAGCTCTTCCTTTGAATGTAATAGTCTATCTTTGAATGATTCAGTGAAAACCAAATCTAATAAAGATACTATTTGTAATATTGTTATTTAAGGAAAGCTAGTCAACTAACAGACATGAGATTTTATGAATATTTTAAAATATTTATTCCCCAAAGACCTACTGATACCTCAATTTGACAATATTTCACTTAATTAAAAAAATTAATGGTACAACATCACCTTATTTTGCTTAAGCAATTACAGAAGAGGTCAAGAAAGAATAAGGCTATTTAAAGTTACAAGGAAAGTTATATTTTTCAAGAATATGGCAAGGAAGTCATTTGGTTACTTCTTCCCATTTATTACCAAGCAGAGTTGGAAAAGTTGGTTTTAATCAAAATCTAATTTATACCCAAAGTATTACAATGTTAGGGGCTCATGGGCACCAACTCACAACTGTACAGATCACTTTTGATTTTAGTCATGTAAAAAGACTTTGATATTGAAATATACAAAAATGATATAAAGTGTTAAATTTACTTCAAAATAAAACCAATGAAAAGTTGGAAGTAGGAGCAGCTATAGATCATATATAAGAGAACACAGGTTGATGAATTGTAGTTGGGTGATTTCTACATTTGAGTATTTTGGGAAATTTTCATAATAAAGTAGTAAAGCAAGAAAAACTAGATTAAATCAAGCATTGAGTTTGTAAGAGGTTAATAACTAAGGCAGTCATTACTTAAGAGTTGCTACTAAAATGTTAGCATTCACACCATAAAATTGATTTCAATTTAAAGTTTAGAATAAAGAATACACACTAGTAAAAATAATTTGTAACTTTGACTTCAAGAACATAATTAGATGAGTGATATACATGTAAGTTTATCTGTAGATCTTAGAATAAACATGAGTGAATGATCACACCTGAAGGAAAACTATGGGAATAAAGAACTTGAAATTGGAAACGACCATAAATGTTCACATTGAAGATTAAAGCAAGAAATTCAATCAAAATTAACATCAGGATAAGAAAACCTAGTAATTTGAAAAATGCGTATCACAAAATATGGTCCAAAATAAAAGGCTATATAAATAAAGACAAAGGAATGATTTGATTGCCTTGAGTTCAGCCATCTAAAATGATAAAAATACTTAGGACCATGTTAGCAGATAGAGAATTAAAACATTTACTCTGGAATAAACTATGCCTTTACTAACTTGAGATTTTCTAAATTCTTGTATTATAAAATACAGAAATGGAATCTGACAAAGTAGTACTCCATAGCTTTCTAATTTGGAGGAGGCAGAAATGCAAGTGAATGGGGTGGCACAATTTGAATGGACTTGGAGGCTAAGATTTACCACTCTGAAAGACGTAATTACCTAGGCACCAACACTGAAGGACAGATTATTTCTGAAGGAAGAGATTCAAAAAATTTGGTCACAGGAAAGAACAAAGTTCAGATTTCAGATAGCTGAGGTAAAGAGCACTAAAATAAAAAACTAACAAATTCATAACGAGGACAGTGAGTAGCAAAACAAGTAGCACAGAATTATCAGCTTTGTTTAGGAGGAAATAAAAAAATAACAACAAGACTTGAAAGAATCTGTGTTAAAGTTATTTCTTTTAATTTACTGATTTTTAGAGAGAGGAAGGGAGGGGGGAAGGAGAGAAGAGAAGGGGGGAAGAGAGGGAAGGAAAGAGGGAGCTGCAGGGGAGGAAGGGAGCGGAGAGTGGAGGGGTGGGGGGCCAGGGGGCGGGGAGGGAAACATCTATTTGTTGTTCCACTTATTTATACATTCAGTGGTTGATCGTTTTATGTGCTGACTGGAATTAAACACATAACCTTAGAATATTGGGATGATGCTCTACCCAACTGGCTTACCCGGCCAGAGAGGGAAAGTTATTTCAAATTAAGAAAGACCCTTCCCTACATTTTGCTTCCAGTGATACTTATCAAAAGATCTGGTTCTAGGGCTCTCTCTAAATCACTCTGCCATTCAGTGACTTTGATGGTATAGGTAAATCACAAGTGTTACTGGAACTCATTTTCTCTCTTTATAGAGAGACAATATATGCCTTTACCCAAGAGAAGTGTATGAGGGCCCGGTGAAGTAATATAAAAGAAAATATGTTGTAAACCATAGTGGTTTCTGCCAATATATACCACTGTGTGTGTTTCAACTTGGACAATAATGAAATCCTACAATTCATTTAGAGATGTGGGGGTGTGTAGTAAAAAAGCAGAGATATTCCAGAAAGAGGCACTAGCAAACCCCTGAAGAATCTGACCCAAGTATCAATAACAAGATAAAAAAACATAATTTTGCTCATCCAACTTTTACTATTCAATTTCAAATGCCCTTGGAGGGATTGCTGCTCTAATACATTGCAGCATCCTCACACCATTTCAGATTTTCTGTGTTAAAAGAATTCTAAGATCCAATTATTTTAAAACAGGCCAACATCAGGAGTTTAGACAATGCTTTTAAATGTGCACTGTGTGAAATGATTTGGAAATAATACAAAAATAAACATAAAAAAAAATCAAAAACCACAAACAGAATATAGGCCTTGCAGTTACATGTTAGTGTATGGTTAAAAAAAAGACTCATCAAGGCAATCCAAAGTATGCTATTTTATTTAAGATTACCAGTAAAATGAGAATATATCAAGTCATGCTTTAGTTTATCCTAATGGTCAAATCATTTAAGACTCAACACTCAGGTGTTTGGTGAAACCTGAATGGCTAAAAGCAATGGGATGCTCTCCACTGAATATACTTCTAATGTAACTCTTAGGTCATGTGGGAATTAGTTATTAACTGGTCTCTTGCACAGATAGTAGGAAGGTTCCTAGAAGACAAGGAGAATGTTATATTCATTTTAGTATATACATGATTAGAACAATAACAAAAAATTGAAGAAAAACCAATCCCTCCAGAGCACATATTTGAGTATGAACAAAGACTTTGACACACAAAAAAACAGCAATAAAGCATTTTTCAACAATATCTTTATTAGATGATAGCGCCTTATGACTGGTAGAAACAAAGGTCTAAAGCACCAGGTTTTAGAGCAGAATATTTACTCTGGGGTGGAAATGAAAGTCTGTGCATCTAACAGGGAAGTATAATATAGATTATACGGTTATATCTCCATTAGGGAGTATTTACCTACTATGAGCTAAGCTTCTATGTGCATAGAAAGAGACTCTGAGCAGCTGAGTAATTTCCCTACCATCACACAGCCACAAAAGGGTGAGGCCAGGAAATGGAGGAAAAGGCCAAGAAGTGGTAGGTTGCACTATAAAGTAAATGCTCTTTCCGCAACTTCAAGCAGCCACTGAATATCTTCCTCTGTAACACTGTATAATAAGCATAATTCATACTTTAGAGGACTTTCATAAAATTTAAATGTGATATCATATAAAATCATTCTGAAAAGTATAAAAGTTCTACAAATACTGAAAAACAACTATGACTTATCTAGCTGTCTAATTTGCCTGATCCTCCAACTCATTTTGAAGTAGTCAAAGAGGTGTTACTCCATTTTAGTAAATGAAGGGAGTATAAAAATTCAGCTTAACTAACTTATTTGAGTCACAAAGGCAGGACTACTAGACTCTGAATCTTGCATCGTTTCCTTCCATTTCTATTACATTGTGATGCAACTAAAATGTATAGTGGGTCATTCGAAGAAAAAATTATATCTACTTAAAATGTTAAAACTGGCTTGTGTATTAAGAATGGACTTCAAAATTTATTTCAGAACAAACATTTTAATCAGTTGTATGAATTTTATAATGCATGTGTTATACTCAATCAGGAAAACAGTTATTCTGGAAAATAAGGCACACCCATAGGCTTCTCATACAATATAAATTATTAAATTCCCCTACATGGAATTTTGTAGTATATTTAAAAACTAAAATGAGGGTAGGTGGAAGAAATAAGCCTCTCTTGTGCAGATATCCTCATTTGTTTTTATTTAAACTTGTTCCTTGGTTTACTATCTCAAAGAAATATGAAATAACAATATGAATAGCCAAGATCACATACCAGCTACCCATGAATTATTATTCTTTTAATTATTGTAAAACATCTCAAGTTAGTACTACTATCGTCTTCAGTGTCACTGATGAGTAAATAGAAGCTCAGAATGGTTAAATCAACTGCTCAGTTACACAGCTAGCAAGTGGTAAGACTGGAATTCCAAACCTGATCAAATTGACTCTAAGACCTTTATAACTACAACGCTATGCAATATCTCAACAATTTCCAAGTGTAGTGTGATGCTGTATTATGGACACCTGGAGTAAATAAATCATAGAACTCTGAACAGGAAAGGACAGGTTCCCTACTGAATATAGTAAGAACAGAAACTACCACAGAATTTTAAAGGAGTCTAGAAAAGTATTTCAACATAAAAAAAGATGAACTGATGTGACAAGAGTAAAATAAACTTTCAAATCTCCTACTAAAAGATACTATATTACTAAATCCTAGATACTTGGAAAGGTGCTACCTTATTACAGTAATCCTTAGGCTGCTTATTTAGAATTATTAAAGTCTTAGTGTAATACCTCTAACTTCCCCTATAATCCTATTTTGTATGATGTTTGTATTGATTTTCATTTTTTAGGAGAAGGGGAAGTGCACTGTGATGTAGTAATCACAGCTGGTATCTCCACCGCCCCTCCGCCCCCCCCCCCCCCCAAGCTCCACCGCCCCGGGAGTTATTTTGAAACTGCATTTAGACAGCAAACATACTATTTTTACCTAGATTTTTGCTATAGATCAACAACTGTAAAACATACCTAAAGAAGTCCTTACTACACTTTAAATGAGATTGAGATCTTTCACACTGAAGATTATATTATTACACTTAATAATACTACCACTATTTTGACTTTGAATACTCTGTTGGTAAGGCAGTGCCTTAATAAGCCATCCCTTGGCACTACTAAAGCTCTGAAAGTGAAAAAGGTTCAGAATCACTGACATTTGGCTATTATTTCATTTTATTCTTTGGTTGTTACACGTTAACTTTAAAAAGTTCAACTTTATTTAAGAATAGTTTTAGATTTATAGAAATGTTGCAAAGGTAGCACAAAGAACTCTGATATACTTTATATACACTGGCTATTGTTTTTAACTAATAAATGTGAATGAAGTATGTTATCTAATCAAATGACAGAAGGATATTTCCAAAGAAGATAAATATATACTATGAAGCAAATGTTACATAAAATAACACATCCAGTACAAGATCAGGAAGACAATGATTTTTATTATCTTTAGAAAATAAACAAGATTTCCAAGAACAAAAATATTTCAAAACTGTTTCACATTTACTAGTACAAAAATAACGATTACAAATCTAAGGAGGTTCAATATTATGAAATTTAGAATGTGTCCTATTTCATAGACAACCTAATGAAATGGCAAATAATGAAATCCACTTTGTATTAAATTCCAAATATTTAATTCCCTAAAAATACCAATTGAAGCCCAAAGTAAATGATCAAATTTAACAAAAAAAATTAAAATACTTTGAAAAAAATACAAATGAAACATTAAACGCAAATTAAATTTTTATAAAGAAAAAAGAAAACTAATAAAAACCTGTGGTATGGTGGGTAGGATGACAGTATTCTCAGCAGGGACTGGCAGGACAGGGATCACAGGGACAGTGGGAGGAGAGAGAGGTACAGCTTCTGTTGGCTAAAAATCATCAACGAAAAAAAATCAGGAAGAATACCAAAGTAAAAAGGAAACACAACAGAAAGTTTTGTCATGAAGATAAATTACAGTTTTCAGATATAAATGAGAAACAGGTAAAATATTAATGTTACCTGAATTTAAATGAGAAAATGGTCTCCAGAAATTATTTTAGAAATTATATCACAAATACTTTAATTACGTTGTAATTAAAACAAGTGACCACTTCCTAGATATTTAAATGAAACTAGTTAAACTTACAATGCTCCTCCTGTAGAAGATAAGTCACTAGCTTCAGAGACAGACAATAAAAAAGTTTTCTAGCATTCCAAATATATCTGACTACTGTCTGCCTTGTATTCAAAGAATCAAAAATAACTCCATTAGCATATCAGGTAGGTAACTGGGGCACACAAGTCCATAGGCAAAACATTCAAAGGACTTCAAAATTGAATCTGTATAATTTATAAAGTAATCTGGCTATTAACCTCTACTATAAGAACCTGCTTATAGAGTCATTAATTCAATTAGCATTCGCTGAGTATCTATAATGTGTCAGGTATATTCTGGGAAAAATGAAAAAAGAAGTGGGAATTCTAGTGACATAATTTAAACTAAAAATTTTTGACATTTACACTCAATTACTCTTATCTGACTTGATTCAATTATTCTAAAAAAGATATAGCTGGAACACAGAAGGGTGTTTTCTAATAAGTCCCAAACACTTCAAACAGAATTAATTTGTAAATATTTGCTATACCAATGACGTTATCTTTACATGTATAAGAAAAACAGTAGAGTTAAATCAATAAGAGGACAATGTATGTTAAAAGACAGTTAAAACAGAAAGAACAACACTAAATTTGAAACTATGCTTTTCCTCATTGATAAAAATACAAAATAAAATTATAATGTAAATACAAAATAAAATTATACTGTTGATCTTTTTGTCTATCGTATCAGTCAATCCAAATTTACCAAAAATGTATGAGACTCTTCAATAAGGTGTTGGGACAACTAGATAGCCACATGCAAAAACAAGTTAAAGCACCACCTTCCATCATACATAAAAACTAACTGAAAATTAACCAACAACCTAAATATAAGTGCTAAAATAACATCTGTAGAAGAAAACAGGAGTAAATTTTGATGACCTTGAATTTGACAATGGATTCTTAAATATGACCATCAAAAAAATGTAAGTGACAAAAATAAATAAATTAGGATTTAATTAGGATTAAAACCTCTTATACACCAAAGGGCAATATCAAGAAAGTGAAAAGACAACCTATAGAATGGGAGAAAATCTTTGCAAATCATACATCTGATGAAGGTTTAACATAGAGAATATACAAAGAACTCCAACTCAATAACAAAAGGACAATTTAAAAAATGGATTTAAAGAGGCATTTCTCCAGAAAAGATATACAAATGGCCAATTAGCAAATGAAAAGATACACAATATAACTATTCATTAGAGAAATGCAAATCAAGGTTACAATATCATTTCACACCTACTAGGAGGTCGTTATAAAAAAGGAAAAACAAAAATAGAAAGTAACAAGTGTTGGTAAGAATGTGCAAAACTAGAACCCTCAAAAACTGACAGTGGATGGTGGAAATGGTGCAGCCTCTATGGAACAGTTATCCGGTTCCTCAAAAAACTAACCATAGATTTATCATATGACCTAGTGAATCTACTCCTAGGTATATATTCAACAGAACTCACGACAGGGAATCAGATACTTATACCAATGTTCAGTGATGTACTATTTACAAGAGTCAAAAGGTGGAAAAAATCCAAATTACCATCAACAGATGAATGAATAAACAAAATGTAGTAAATGCATTAAATGGATATTATTTAGCCATAAACAGGAATGAAATTCTGAAATATGCCACAACATAGATGAATTTTGGAAATATTATGCTAAGTGAAATTAACCAGATGCCAAAAGACAAACACTATGATTCCACTTCTATGAAATATTTAGAATAGATAAATTCATAGAGATGCAAAGTAGATTAAAAGGGACAGAAGAACATGAGGAGTTATTGCTTAATAGTTACCCAGTTTGATGTGATGAAATAGTGATGACTGCACAACACTGGGAATATATAATTAATGCCACAGAATTATACAGTTAAAACTCATTAAAATGGGAAATTTTATTCTATATACTTTATCACAATAAAACAGACTTGAAGTAATTTTAATGCATGGAAACAGGTACTCTCTCACAGTGCTCTTAGATATATAAATCCATACAAACTTTACAAAAAGCAATTCAGCAGTAATCGTCTGCAGTGGTAAAAATGTTTAATCTCTGACTTAGTAATTCTGGAAATCTACCCTAAGGGAATAATTTAAAAAGAAAATGTTTTAATACTCTTAATATATTCCCTTGAGCACTGTTTATATTTGGAGAAATGTGGAATATCCTAAATATCCAAAGGTGTTGAAATGGTAAGTAAATAATGACAATTATGTAAGACTAAATAAATATTAGGCAACAATTAAAAGTTATCTATAAGAATAGATTCTAAGTCACATGGGATACTGCCTATGACATTAAATAAAAAAGGTAAGATGAGCCCTGGCTGGTGTAGATCAGTGGATTGAGTGCCAGCCTGTGAGCCAAATGGTCACTGGTTCAGTTCCTAGCCGGGGCACATGCCTGGGTTGCGGGCCAGGTCTCCGGTGGGGGGCATGCAAGAGGCAACCACACATTGATGTCTTCTCTGCCTCTCTTTCTCCACCCCTTCCTCTCTGTCTAAAAATAAATAAATAAATTTTTTTTTTTTTTTTTAAAGAAAAGATGAAAAGTGTTAAAAAAATGGAAGGAAGTGTTTAAAAAGTTAACCTCTAGGGGCAGGATTACAAGCAACTTCTCCTCCTGCCTCTTTATTTCAAGTTCTACTTTTCTAATTTTCTTTTATAACGCAGTGTGAGAAATGGGTGCTACTGTTCATATCAAGAGATCATTTACTATCTCATTCTCTTAAAAAATAATAAACTGAAAATGTATTTCAAATAAATTGTTCTAAAAGATTCTAACAAATTTCAAAGATACACAGAACTATTAAAGATGCAGAAGTAGGGATCAAATTCAACCCTTCATTTTATAACTGTGGTTCAGCTCACAAAAGGTAAGCTGTGGGGAATTAGGAAAAATATTGCTGGACTTCTGTTACTGGGAAAGAGATTTTTAGCCATTAGATTTTGCTATTCCCTTCCCCCTCCTTTCCTTCTTCCTATTTTTAAAAAATCCTAAAATTTATACAATCTTAATCCAACCCACTCCTTATCCTGCACTGCGCAAGTACTTTTGAAAAAAAACACACACACACACACATGCCCCTGCCTCTTAAGAAAGGCAAATTTTTCTGAGAAAATCTACAAAAAAAAAAAAAAAAAAAAAAAAAAGGCCATATCAACACACAGCATTTCCTAGCCATAGGACCAGGTGACCAGGTGACTAACAGTCTCAGTTGTTTCTCTCCACAGTAACACCATGGAATCATTATCCTCTGAGGCTGCCTTCAGAGACATGTTTCCATGACAACAGAGGCTACACTATTAACACCACCACAAAGAACACTGTGGAAAATTGTAAATTCCTGCAAAATAACTTGGATTGTACATATTTTAAAAGTACTTTTTTATACCAGGATTCAAATTGGTGGTTTTCTGAAAAAAGTTTAAAAGTTGTTTCAGTTTCACCTGGTTTAAACAGAAAAAAATAAATAAATAAATAAATAAATCAATAAAAAAAAATAAAAGTTGTTTCATTGTTTAGAGATTCTTACTAATTTTATTCATGGCTTTACATTTTACATTTAATGCGAAATCTTAAAATTATAAAATCAGTTTTTAAAATGTAACAGATTTTCCTAAAAGTGGCCAGAAGCTTCATTAGGTATAGCCATGTGCCTAACGTGTATTGTGCACAATATGCACATCTACATTTATGACTATGTACCACACTTTTCACTTCCATTCTTTCAACAATAAATGAAAAATAAGTACATTAAAGTACACCTACCTGTGTCATATCTCTTTCTACTTAAAATAGCTAAAGTGGTTTTTATACCGGGTTGGGAAAAAGTAGGTTTACAGTTATTTGTATTAATAATACAAGAATAAACTATGTTTTGTGTACTCACAAATGTAAACCTACTATTTCCCCACCTTGTATATGAATATGAATCCTGACTGATAGGGGCTGAGACAGATGGAACAATTGGGAGGTTGCTGTGATAATACAGTTCAGACAGGATCAATGGCTTAAATCAAATGGTGGTGATGGTGAAAATGGGCATGAGCAGTCAAATCAAGATAGACTTTGCATATATAATTTGTGTGTGTGGTGACTGATGAGAGGTTGGGAGTGAAGAACTATGAAGAATAACACCCACAATAGCTTAAAATTATCTTTTATGTCACAGATCTGGCAAAGCTATCTAAATAACATTTAATACCTTTTTCTCACTAAATTATCTATTGAAGTAGTTTTCATAGCCTAAAATTAAACTCTGAAGATAACAAATTGTACTACCAGATAACTAATAATTGTTTACATCTTACATTAATATGTTACATGAATGGGGTAAACTCAGCTTAGGATATACACAAAAATTCAGTAAGTTCTAAATAAATTTATACTATATTAATTGAAAACAAAATACGTAAATTAGAAAATCTTTTGTTATCAATATCTTAGATAATAAGGAAAGGAATTACCCGTGTGTAACTGTTGGTCAATAAGGCCTTATTTTTTTGGTATAGCGTAGTCAATATTCTTAATCCAAATTCCTTTGTTTAAAGATCTACTATGCTGTAGTGAGACATGTTTTTCTATCAAATGTCAAAGAAGCTATCCAAGAGGGAGGGTGAAACCAGGAAAATACCTGAGTTGTTTTCATATTTACAGAAAGATAAAATACAGCATAGTAGATAAATCAAAACTCTCCTTGGAAATCACTGTATTCAACAGGGGTCC